TCACGTGCCGCGTAACACGTGCGTGCACCACAAATGGAAATTTCAAGGAAATCCAGACAAGTTGCTATGCAGTGTTTACTTCCTGTTGCCAGTAGGTGGCGCTATCACTATATTGATATCGTCATGTAGAATGTCAGGGCTGGGACTGTTATCAACGTGTGAAGTTTCATTGACATTGGACCATCGTACAGCTGGAAGTTGTGAGGTGGTGGTATGGTACTGAGTATGAGTACTGTGTTTAGCGGCAAACGGCGGAATTACGATCACGTCATCCACGGGCACACGCGGGTTAATACGTAACAGTCACAAATAGAAGCAACTTTTGATCACCAATGTGTCTATGATTCGTAGGGATCGAATTTGAAGTAGATCTGATAAATCCTGTAGGAGGAGTTCCTTAAAACAGAAGCCCATAAATGCCGGAAATAGACATACAGTCCCTTTCAGATTCGATTCAACCTGGCAACTTTATGGCATGCCACCGGACACGCCCCTTTAATTGTAGCATGGCACAAATCAGCAAAACTCTTTAATCAGGCACCAATCTTTTGTGTCCTGTACTTGACCAATTTTGAAGCAGATCCGATAAATTCCCTAGAAGGAGTTTCGTTCAAACAGAAGGCGAAAAATTACCGAGAAATGAGCAATAAAGTCAAATGGCCATTTTACAGCATGCCAGCGGACCCACGCCCCCTCTTCGCAATGTACATGCACAATAGGCAACTAACATTTGATAAATACCAGCACCTTATGTGTCAGTACTGGACGCAAATTGAGAAGCAGATTCCATAAATTCCCTAGAAGAGAGTCTTCGTAAATACCAAGATACAACGCGAAAAGTGCGCCGAAAGTTTTTGGATTAAAATGAAAATCAAATAGCCGCGTTCCCGTGGGGTGGGGTTATAAGGGTCGCCAGAGAGGCTTTTTTGTACGTCCTGGTGGAGTTTACACGGTGACAACTACCGAGAGTAAATAAAAGATATAAACAAAATCAAGGTGGAACCCCCGCGCTGGCGCCCGGGGCTGCTTCTTTTAACAACTACCTGAGGCGAGGCCGCACAAACCCCGATAAACATGATTTTTGTACGTGATGATTCAGGCCACCACTCTAGCATGTGGCCTCTGCGATTTCATATTCATAACTTTATTATACGTGTCTTACACAGTGATTTAACCATCCCATCCAGAGCTTGCCACCTAGTGGCAGATCGTTGACGACATTTATTAGGGAGCCTCCAGGGAGCCATGGGCCATGTGGAGGGGGAAAGTTGATTGCATCCTACCAAGTTCATATTTTAATCGCACATGTGTTTTTTCTAATTGCCGGAGATTATAACTTGTTCATTTTTAAAGAGCGGGGCCCACCTTGTGCGTGGTAACCTTTGAAATATGTACAACGATCTCTGAGGAAAGACATGTGGAAAGCTGTGGATTTCGAAGTTTGTGGTGTAACAATCGGACATACGCAATATGGACGAAATGCTCCAGCTCCTGTTTTGAGCCAAATGTCACGGGAAGTAATAATTCTTACTTTACATAAACAGCGCTTATTTTGAAATATTCATAAACACTCTCCTTCAACATGACTTTTTTTTGGCCACGGGATCGGTCCCACCAGCATGCTTATGATCGAGAACATGGGTTCGTGGAATTCGGGCACAAAGTGTGTATACAGGAGTAACTCACGGAAAAAGTGGTTTTTGGTACCATTTCGGCTGCTCTATGCGCAAAAATAATTATACGGTGCGGAAGTGGCCGCGTGGCCTATATGATGGGTGAGATGTGCAGCTCCATTCACCGCACACGGCTTGGATAATATAATTTTGAAGTTTTGTGAATTGTGGCGATGCAAACTATGCACGACAGTTATGTAGCTCAATACCGCACACTTTTGATGATACGTATGACAGCACAAACCTCAGTGGCCAAGAACCGACAAGCAACACAGTAGGATTCACTAAGAATTTTTCGCCCACATCGTAACTGGAAGCATGTGTGCCGCAGGTTTCATGCAGTTGTTTGAGGGCATGTGGCAAGCTTGCACAAAGTATGCGGCATCGCACGTTTAGTGCTCGGCGCCTAAATAACATGAACTGACCAAACTTTCTTTGTGGTGCAAATTCATTAAGAACACTATTTGGCAGGTTAAGGCAGTAATTCACTCTGTTTAACATTTGATCTGTCAGTTAATTCAATCTGTTGTGTGCTAACAGAGCACAGTTAATAGTAAACACTGAATTTCTCTTTCCTCCATCAGAAGACATTTTCGTCTTATTATACTGATAAAAACATGTTAATGTTAATAATTCTGGACGCGGCTGCAGCTCCGACTCATGTCATCATGCCACACTTTGAAGGGCTTTCTGAGGTCGAGGTTACAGTTGTCTTTTCCATTAGACTTGTGTAATTGGATGTGTTGGATTGCAATTTAGTGGTGTCCACATATGTGTGTTCACACTTGACATTCACACATGTGATCAGTTCTGTGTGACAGTCTCCTTCCTTTCTGACCCGTCTGTGAAGGTGTCAGACATCATCTCAGCACGGAGAGGTGCTGTCACTGCTGACGAGGCTGCAGACTGCAGTCGGTCTCTGGTATTCACTACTGTTGGTATGTTTGCATGTAAAATGTTAATATTTGCTGGCAGCATCGGGATCATTTCCAGCTCTAACACGTCTCACTTCCAGGTTGGTGCCAAAATCTGTAGTGCTCTGCCACGGGGCGACTCCATCTCCTGCAAAATATGTTCAAGTAATTTGCTTTGCCAAATATGTTTTGGAGGAAATTTAATTGCTTCCTGGGTTTTTTTTCCAATCAGGAACTGTGGGGGGGAGGATGGGGGGTGATGTTTGGACGAGGCAGAAGACAGCTGTGTTTTTAGGCTTTTATTGTGGGGTTGGTTAAATATTCAACCAGATAAATGGTACGTGTACTAAGGACATTTGTTGTCGATCTAAAATGACGATTCAACAACTAAATGGTTTATTATTCGCTTAAAATGTTTCCAGAAAATGAGACAAAGTTTCCAAACGAGCCGCCATCGTAGGGCGGGCCCGAAACAGAAAACGCTCGTCCAAGTCAGGTGCAGCCACGGAAGTGGAGCCTTCCCTGTGACTACAAGCGTCCACAGTTCAGTCGCTACAGTTTCAGCTCAGTTCAGTGAGCTTGAGCTATAATGCTAACATTAGCGGCGGCCTCAGCAGGCAGAGCGGGCTTCCGTCCCCACACATCGGCAGGGTTGTGTGGTTCGAACTCCCTCGGCTCCCTCCACGTGTCGAAGTAGGAGCCAAGATACTGAACCCCAAATCTGCCCTGATCGCATAAGCTCAAGTGTGTTGAACTGTTATGGCCATGTGTTAGTTTCTGTTCGATGGTACAAGTACAGGTCCATTTACCATTTACCATTAGCATGCTAACATGCTAATGGTAAATGGTAAAGATGGGGCTGGTGCGTGTGTGTGAAACATTTACAGTTTCATTTGAATGTCTGAATCCTGAGTGTGTACATTTATTGGCTATACAGTCCCACAATGCACTGCTCTGCCCTTTACAGAGGCGAACATTGAGTAGCAGTAGTAGTACATGACACAAAATCTATTTACTGATTCAAAGTGAACAGAATTTCAGGTTTGCACACACTGTCCTTTATATGCTGACTGTTCTAGTCGTTGTTGAAGTAGTTTAAGGAGGTCTGAGCTGCTCAGTGTCAGTGGGATCGGCCCCCCGTGACCCTGCACCAGGTTTCAGATATCTCCACAGTCACAGGGAGCTCATGAAGAAGACCATCTGCCCCTGTGAGATCTTTCAACCAATGAGAACTCTCTCACTCTGTAATCTGCTCGCTGTCCGTTTATTACGACCCACTTAAGCTCCACTTTAGATTTAATCGGCCCGTTATCAGTAAACACTACTATCACATGTCTCTCTGACTCAGGATCAGCTGGTCCGCCGGGTCTGTGTGATATCTGTTTAACAGTGGAGTCACATCCTGATTTATGCTTTTACATTTATATAAAGACTGCACTGTGGATGTAATCAGATTATTAATGTATTCTGACAGGACTCATTACTGTGCTGTAGTACAGGCCACAGGTCTCACAGTGTCTGTATAACAGACTCTGAGGGTCCTTCACACAGACTAACACTGAGCTCTGGGTTGTGTTCAAGGAAAGAAACAGAGTAGATGTGCAGGCGGTTTATAAGGCAACTGTAATCTCTTTGTCGTTGTTTCTTGTCTCTTTGTGGACCTTTTTAGTCTCTTTAATCCAAATACAGATACAGAATATTTATAATAAATACATTTTAATATCTGAAAGTAAAGAAGTGCCACTACACAGCTGGATTTTTATATTCAACATAAACGTTAAAATAATCTTTGCGTCAGTTTGCTTTAATCTTTTATATTTCCGTGTCTTTCTGTTCAGACTCGTCTTTGTCGAAGATGAGCCCCTGCTCTGAAGCGGGGAAACCCTGTAACCCCTGTCTGGACGCAGCGAAGGCGTGCAACCTCAACGAGACATGTAAACGCCTGCGATCCGCCTACAACTCCATCTGCAGCAAGGCCACGCCCCCTCAGCCCTCCCTGGCCAATCAGGAGCCGTGCAGCCGGAAGAGGTGTCAGAAGGTGTGTGTGAGGTTCACAGAGGGGCTTTTATATTTAATGTTAAACACTAAAAGGATTATAACTCGACCTGTGTGTGAATGTACTTCAGAGGTTACATGTGAGGACATTTTAATAATGGAATTTGATTTTAATGTTTTTTTAGCACATTTGTTGGAGTGAAACATGTTTTCTTCTCTGGCAGATTACAGCTGTAAAGGGATTAAATAAATCCAATAAGTGTGTGATTGGCTGATTCAGTCATACTGAACCGAGTCGGACCTGCTGAGGAACAGAATCACTCAGAAAATGCTTCAAAAAACCAAAACTTCTTTCGTCTTTAGTGAATCTTTGTGATCTTAAATTAAATTACTTTAATGCTCAGAGTGATACAAAACAGTACGGATTTATACGATAATTTTCTGTTTCAGCAGTTGTTTGAGGATTTTAATAAATTGAATCTTTTTATATCTAATAAGACACAAACCAGTTTCTCTTTTTTTAACCTCAGATTTAAAGTTTATTTTAATCAATTTACAACTAATAATAGGTATTTATACTGCGTATAGATTAATTATGTGGCATGTGTTGTTATGGCAACCAAATAATACAATAAAATGACAACTAATACTATAAATAGAAATATTAAATCAAAGTCAAACGCAAACAGGATGAGAATAAAGTGAAGCTGAATATAAGTTTTACATTATGTTTGACATGAAAGGTCCAGTTTGTTGGATTTAGTGGCGTCTAGTGGTGAATTTGCAGATTACAACCAACTGAATTCAGCTCAGCCTCACAAACAGTGGCTGCAAAGTCCCCTGTCTAGATCCAGTGTTTGTCCGTTCTGGGCTACTGTAGAAACATGGTGGTCAACATTTACACTTTAAAGTCCTATATTATGATATTAAGATTTCACTCACTGCTGACTGGAGAGGATTTATTCTAGAAATAATCGGATAAAAATGGACTTTGCAGCACACCATGTAGCTGAGTGGAGGAAGTGGGAGTGACCTTGTTTCACGTGGATAGGATAGAATTTATTACTTTGTGTTTTTATTTTTAACTTTTTAACTTCCTGGTATTTTCTTGTGAAACTTTTTTTGAAACTGTGCAGAACATAAAGGAGATGGATGATAATTAACTCTGTGTCCTAGGCTCTGCGTCAGTTCTTCGAGCGGGTCCCGTGGGAGCTGAGCTACCCTCTGCTCTTCTGCTCATGCCCAGACCAGGCGTGTGCCGAGCGCCGCCGCCGCACCATCGTCCCCTCCTGCTCCCACCAGGAGAGGCACAAGCCCACCTGCCTGGAGCTGAGACGCACCTGTCGCTCCGACGCTCTCTGCAGGTGAGTTGGCCTTCAGGAGCCAATCAGGTGTGATCACGCCGGGGGGGGGGTTTCTCTCCATTTGCACACAGCTCCAGAAGACTTTTCAGCTTGATGCAGCTTGTTTCACTGATTATTATCAAGCGGGAGGAGGAACTAATCAGTGAAATCAGCCGCTGGAGTGTTTAATTGGAAAGAAATCTAGCACACTCTTGGGTCAAAATTGCACGTTTGATTGATAACAACTGGCTTTAAAGGTTAGACAAGCCTGAAGTGGAGGGAAGTGAACGAGCACTCACCCCCTCCCTCGGGGGCTACAGTCGAGGTGCCCTTGAGAAAGGAGCAGCGCCGGAAAAAGCACACGCATGATTGGTTGATTTGGATAAATACAGGTTGAACACGGTGATGGAGGCCGGAAGGGAGGGTTTCTAAAGGGGGCAGAGGGGGAGGACGTTTACACAAGGGTTAGTGTAGACGCAGAGAGGAACGTGTTGAATACGGACCCCGTAATTAACGCAGGAAACCTCAGGATCACACTCTGTTATCTACTAATCTGTATTTTCAGTTAGATAATCCTCATTTACATATTTAAACATAAACTTTTAGAAAACTTGTAATACAAGAAATAATTGTCTTCACACAAGTAACTGCGGAACATTCATGCTGATACCTATTAGTGAAATGATTCACCTGTAGTGTCCCGTGGTAACCTGCAGATGAATCAATAATTGGTTGTGGAGGATATCTCTCACACTGAGCAGGAAAGAGCCAACATACAGATAAAATGTAGGAAATGTAATAGGGCTGACCTCTGTGAGATCCATCAGCCTCTCGTTCATTCAGCCTCTGGTTCACATCGGATCGCTTCCATTCACTCAGCCCTTTCTCTGCTGCTACACTTTCAGAGTCATGGTCAACACTGAGGTTATAGAACCGCTACGACGCCGTCTTTTTCTAAAGCGCGAGTGTCATCAGCAATTAGAGAGCTAAATGTGAATAAAGACTCTCGTCTCCCCCTCGGCGTGCGCTAATTCTTCTGAGAATTTCAGAGAGAGAAAACAGGCGAGCGAGTGTTTGTGTCTGTAATGGAAGCACAAAAGATCACTTTAATTGATTTCTTTCAAAACTCTGAGATATACATCAGCATGTAAAAGCCTGTGTGGGTGCCGGGGTCAAACTGTGTGATTCCTACGACTGTATTTATTTTGTATACTTTGAAGTGTGTGTGTGTGTGTGTGTGTGTGTGTGTGTGTGTGTGTGTGGGTGTGTGAAGTGTGTAAGTGTGTCTGGGTGTTTATTAAGCAAACAATAAAAACCCTGCAGGTCAACTGCATATTGTTTGTTTCCATAGCCGATCTGTCTGCAGCTGATTAGAGCGACTGAAGCTGTTTTTTATGCATCTAACTGTGTGAATTCATAGTATTTATTTCCACCAAACCCAGAGTCCTTGGTGATTGTTGTAAACACTAACCGCTCCGAGTCGTAGACAGTTTTAATGCAGCTCTTATTCGCCTTCTGCCCCACCTTTAATGAAGTTCACGCTATGATCTGATAGGTAAAATGATGTCTTCTGTGTCCCTGCGGCAGTCTCGTGGAGAGTGATAGTGATATTACTGGCTCGCTTTGTGGATTAAACTAAAAGGGTCTATCTCGTGGTGATGCCTTTCAATAATGCTGTCAAGCCGCCGATCCAAACGCGGGCGCGCCATGCTGTCAGACACTGACAATGAACAACCTGAGTCTGTCCAGTGGAACAAACTACCTACGTCCTAGTGAAAAACAACTACTTGTTAGTGGAACGAAACAACAACTACCTCGTTAGTCGGAACTAAACAACAACTACCTGTTAGGTGGAACAAACAAACAACTACTGTTAGTGGAAACAACAACTACTGTTAGTGGAACAAACAAACAACTACTGTTAGTGGAACAAACTACAACTACTGTTAGTGGAACAAACAAACAACTACTGTTAGTGGAACAAACAAACAACTACTGTTAGTGGACTCACTTTGACGGGCCCCAAGGGTTAATGTAAGCTTACATCAACTGATCAATCACAGCCTGGATGGGGCGGGACATTAAAGGTTGACATTTTACAGTAAACTTTACATGAATTGTTAGAATTATTGATTTCATTCCCAGTCCGTCACTGCTTCAGCTTCCTGTTTCCACATTAGGGATGTTAGTTGGTGAAACATTGCTAATCTTGTTAGTCGAATCCAGAAATACCAGTCAGTTAAACAAATAATTATATTTTATATTATAATTATATTTTAGTAGCAACAACGCTGATTAATTGTGCTTTCCATTCAGCCCCAGCAGGCAGCAGCCCCCTGTCCCTGCATTAATGCCACCGTTGGTTTTAAGAGTCCTCTTTGTCCCACTTTAGAAGTTATAGTTCAACATTTGGTTCCTGCTTTGGGATTCTAGCAGCTTATTTCACTTTCTACCATCTAACCTCACACATCTCCTCAGCTAGAGCTTATTTAGGGACAGAGGATGGTGGAGCTGGAGTTGAACAGAAAATGCCCCAAGTATGGAAGGTTAGGATGACATTAATCAATCACATTATAAAGCAGCTGTCAGCCTCGCTGTGCATTCTGACTGACAGTAACGTAGCGTTAGCTTACCTGCTCCCTGGAAGCTGTGACATTATCCTCTGTAACTTCACATCATCGCTGACGCCGTCAGCTACGTTTCTCAAATAAAACCTCTGAAGGCCTCATGTATCAGGTTACCAACAACCGTCAGCCATGAGAGTGAGCTCTCTCTTCATCTGATAACACAGAGAATCTGGACAACATATGGACAATAACGTTCTGCCATTCTCAGTAACACCCCGACACGTTAAGCCTGGCTGTGTGTGCGGCTTTTTTTACTTTTAGACCAGTCGACAAGTCTAAATTTATATTTTCGTTTTGAAATTAGTCGCCAGAAACATCCCTATTCCACACTGAGCCGAACCCAGAATCCTTTGGACCTTAAGTTTGTGTGCAGCCTGGGTGTGTTTCAGATCTCCCTCCCGTCTCAGCACAAAGGAGGCAGAAAGCAGAAGACGGAGGAAGACTCACACATCACACAGCTGTTAGAAAAGCATTGCAGGCTCCTTCTTTGTGCTCTGTGTTTCTTTGATTGAGCAGCACAGATAGTCAATATCTGGAATACGACTGCACACACACAAGAACAGCCCACAGACCACTGCCAAACAACCAAAAAGTAGCTCCGTCCCCGTTAGACAACAGTGCACTCTGTGGCAAGTAAATGCTTCGCCCCAATATCATGCATGGAGCCTGAATCGTGTTTGATTGCCTGTAAAAAGGAACCCAAAGTAGGCTTTTCATTTTAGCCTCCATTACCCTCAGATGGAGAGCAGAGAGCCGCTTAATCACGGGAATCCCGCAGGTCCTCTGGGTCTTGACAGCCTCGGAGGGCGGTCTCGTCTCCCGCTGTTGATGTGAGCAGGCAGGAGGAAGTGACTGCTCGGGGACCGCTCTGATTGACAGAAAGAGTAATTAAATATGTCCTTTGCCACAAGTAATGCATGAGAAACCTACAGAGAGCTCTAAAAGGTTTTTGGACCCAGGCTCCTATTTTAAAAAAAATATAAAAAAATTAGCATTTCAAATAAGAGTGCAGTCACACCTTTAATTCACAGCTAATTTTCAGTGAGGACCATAGATGAAATGTTCACTTTGTACTTGCCGGTTTGTGAAAGTTCACGCTCTAATGCTACAAGAGTCTGCAGATTATAATTAGAAGTCAAATAGACTCACACAAGGAAAAATAATGTTTGCATTTCGCTCTGCAGCAGCGGGCGAAACAGAGGCCAGAAAGTCAGGATGTATTTATGCTCAAACCCAACCAACTGAATACCTCTGAGCCTTCAAAATGTGGAGGAGAAACTACGGTGGCCGCAAAACTCCCAAAGATGGTTTCTGTAACTTTAGGTTGTTCTTATCACGCTGATGTTTGTTCAAGTGTCCACTATAATGACCGCTACAGTTAGCAGCAGTTAACATTAGCAGTTAGCAACAAGTTAAAGTCTGTCCAACAGAAAATAATCAAGGTCAGTTCAAGCTGAGCAGCCAGAGGAAAACCAGAAATCTGATCCAGTTTCACCAAAATCCCTGAATACAGTTATAAAGTAATATTTTATTATAGGATGACGAAGGCTCAACTTGCCCCACTCTGCCTCTGATTAGTATACCCTGATATTCTTACCTAAACTCAACCAACGAAGGCAACGAGTACGAGCCAATCAGAGGTGGAGTAGGGCGGGTTGAGCCTCGCCATGGTAGGATTCAGGTTTGGGTCCACAGTCCATGCTGAGGTTAGCATTTAGCTCCCCTCAGCTTTACAGAGGAAAATACTTGTGAATCAGTATTTGGCTGCAGTGGTTCAGCTCATTCTGCAGGTTGTCAACAAGAATGATGCTGATACTGTTTCTGCCTTTTAATCCAACCAAAAGTTCAGATCTTAACTGAGTTTTAGTTCTTTCCGACCTAAAATATGAAATGTGTTCTGTACATTAGTGAAATGCTGGAAAGCCGAAGGGATTCTTTTCACAGCTGATAAAATGCTGTTGGCCAACCTTAAAGCCGGTAACGTGCCAAGAAAGTATAAGACGGCTGTGAGCGATGCAGGTTTCAAAACATGCTTTAAAATATGAGCTTTGCAAATGTTTTATGAGGAAAAATCATTCAACACATTTATTAGGATGCTGACAGCTGTTGGTGTGAAACTGAATGTGAACATTTGTTTACATGGAAGTCCACCGGGAAGCTTTAAGCTGCTGTACGGGAGCCAGAAGGTCAAAGCTGAGACGCTACATATCCATATTAATAAAACCGTTCTGTGTGAGTCGTACCAACAAACCCTGATGTAAACAGGTGAGGCTTTTCAGTGTAGAGTGTGGACAAATAAACTACAGCAAGAAAGTCATATGGAAGCTAGGGTGACCTTTAACTGGTCTGTACTATGACCAAACACCATCTGTGGCAGGTGACATAGTGTAAGAG